CATTAACACTTATACATACAAACATACATACATATAACGATTATAAATTTAAAACTTTAGAATCCATAATGTACATGAAAATTTCTTTGTTGACATAACTAATTTCCCAATTTATGTAAAAGAGCTTTGTAGCATTCAAAGCTATTATTACGTTATTTATCAACAACCATATATTTTTTAAAAATTCAAATAATTTGATACTACTTTCATACTCAAATTACCTTTGGAATTTTCAAATTAAATTGCTCAAGCAATAACACTCAATTTAGACATATCCCTCACAAGAATCACTAATTTTTTTAATGTACGAAAATAAATCTTCTAATGGCCATTATTTCAAACACCGATAGACTAATTTTTCAAGCTCAATCCAAACTTCTTCCTATTTGTTCCATCTTCTAAAATTCTCTAATATGAATAAATAAATAATTCAGGTCCTCAAGTTCCATCTTCTTCTTTGAATAAATTAATATTAGCTCAAGCAAAATTCAAATTCTCATCTCCCATATTTCACATGGCAGCAAGCTGAGGAAACAAACAAACCACAATCTACACTAATTAAATACGCGCGCGCGCGCAAACACAGCTGTGAAGGCAAATTTCACAACATATTCACATGCACAAAGTTAACTGAAAGAATAGTTTGAAGCTCCAACCATGAATCTGCAGCATCGATAAAAACGGAGGGGAAGGAGAAATCAACAAAAAGCAGAGGAAGAAGAAACTATGCAGCAAGAGCAGTACCTACGGTGATATACGGACCGAGAAAGAACAAGGAGGAAGTCCCAGAACACCCACGGCCTCCACAGCAGTGATCGACGGCAACACTAACTAGAGAAAATAGAACCAAGATGAGGAAGAAGAATGCACAGAAGGGAGATCCCGACCAATACAACTCTCTGACGACAACAACAAAGAACCACGATGGCGACGGTAACTAGGATGAACGCCGGAAAAATGGAGGGAGAGAAGGTCGATCTTCTTGGCTCTTGAATGTTCGAAATTTTAAGAGGAGAAGAAGGAATTGGCGGTGGTGCGTGCGCGTGTTCTGAAATTCCTAACCTCCTCTTCTTTATTCATCTTTTTTTTAATTGTAGAAGGACAAAAATGGAAATTTAGGACTGAAACAAAATAATAAAAAAAGATTCCACCCTTAATTTGTGGAAAGTTCAAACTCATGACCACCTAAATGAGTGTTTACCTAATCTCCACTGGATTGACCCTTCTTCTCGCTGAATATGTACCCAAAACAAATAAAAATATTATTAAAAGGTATTATTACATATTTTAATTTTATTTAAAAATTTTATGACTCATTATATGGACCTAATAAATGATTTGCTGCCACACATATCACTAGGCTACAATTTTTCGTTGTTACATCTACTCCAATTTTTTTAAATAAATACATAAAGATGTTATTATTAATGCTAATATAATTATATTTATATATTTTTTCAAGGCTATTACAACCAACTTCATATTGATCAACATAAGCATGTTGATGGCTATTAGCTAGAATGCTCATTTCATCGTTGCTCAATATACTCATATTAGTATTGATCTTCATATCTATATCACTTATGATAGCATACTTACACTGAAGATAGTGATGCTCATAATTGTTACAATCAATTTGCTCATATTATTGATGGCTTGTGTATTCATATTGTTGCTCTTCAAAATTATATTGATTGTTTTCTTGCCAATAAGTATCTTTTGACTAATAGACCTACCATTGTTAATATTCATGTTTGTGAGCACAATTCTCTCGTTGCCAAACATATGGTGGTGTATTGGCACATTCATATTGATAGTTGAAATGTGTGTATATTCTATAGCTCATATTGGCAACTATAATAACCCAAAAATTGAAGTTGATTAAAATTTATGGTAAGATAATTTAATGTATATTTATTAAGTTTTGGAGTAAATTTAACAAAGTGATTGGCAGTTTAGTGGTAAGTACAGCTAGTGTCAATCCAGAGGTCCAGTGCTCGAATTCCTTTTTGCTCTGGCCTTTGTAAAATTACTGTTATGCCCTTTATTTAATAAAAAAATCAGATGGAAATATTATTAGAAACCCAAAAACACATCAGATATTATTTCCTTCTCCTTCCCTTTTTTCAGAGGGTTCGAGAACCAAGCAAGAGAGAGAGTAAGGTTGGTCCTTCCCTCCGTTCTCCCTTCCCTCCGTCCGTCTTCTTGTTATGGATGACCGTGGCACGCTCGTCTACCATTGCTAGAAGGTAATTACGAGTTCATCTTCCCTGCGAACCGTCGATCATCTTTCCCTCTCCCCAGTTTGTGCCGTTGCAGTGAGTTTGCCTGGGCTCTGAGTTGCGGTTCTCTTCCTCCTATATACTCGCGTGCTGTGGGGTGCGTCGGACATCTTTCTTTCTCCTCCATGTGTCCATGTCCGATCTGCAACTTCTTCTTGCCCTATTCTGTTCGACGCTGCCACAAGCTCGAGTTGGTGGCTTCAATCCTTTATCATTCTTCATTTTGATGTCAGCGAGCACGTATGCGACTCTGCCGCAAGCTCAAGTTGGTGGTTTCAATCCTTTATCATCTTTCAATATGTTCGGTGGTGTCGAGTTGGTTACCGCTTGGTATGCGACTCCTTCCTTCCCTGTTTTGTTCGATGCTGCTGTTTGGTGTGAGTGTGATAGAGCTGCATTTTTCCACTTCTCTGTTGGGGTGCTAATTGTGTAAGCTTGAATTTCTCTTCCTCTTTACTATACTTGTGTGCGTATGATTTTAAGGGGCTTCGGTCCTTCATATCATTTTTTCCCTTTCTTTGTCTAATGGAGTGTTTGGATGTGACAAGTTGCAACTTCTTTCATTTCTGCAGTTAGATGTCAAATAGATGGAAAATGGGACTTCTTTTAGCTAGTTTTGAAGATGGAGACTTATTTGAATTGGTAATTTATAGCCATTCCGTTAACAGCTACCAAAATAATAATAATAATAATATGAATTGAGGTTTTGTTTTTTTCGAAGGTTTAAATTGCTTATTGGTAAATAATTAAGTTTGGGAAGCATAGTAAATTTATATATTGATGTTTAGGAATTGTTGAGAAAGAGATTTGAAGAGGAAGAAGCTTGATGATATAGTTTGAGTATTAATGCATCCAAGGTGTTTGTTAAAATGTGTAGAAGAGTTTGAATGGAGCAATGAGATATATATTCACTGTTAATTTGAGGACTAAAAATTAAATACTAGATTTTGTTTTTCACTTATACTAAATTAAATCTTGTGAATTGAATTTAGGAGATTTATAAGAAACATGTTAATGCTTGAAAGTTGTATGGTTGACAACTTATAAATTATTGTATTTGTATAACTTGATTTTAGAATGTATATATGATGTTTGATGAAATGTAGGAGGAGAAATTTTTTTATTTAGTTAGTTAAATAACTAAGTATGGGTAATGAATGATTGACTAAATTTTAGTGTAGAAGTTATTCAATTTTATGTTGCAACTTGGGATTAAGGACTTTGCTCACATATATTTAATTATTTATTTGGACCTGTATCTTATTTTATTTATCTAAATATTCCAATATATTAAAATAAAGTACCATGGCTTCAAGTTATGATGTTGTGGAAAGAGTGCAAATATAAACAAAGAGTTTGTTGAGGACATTGTTTAGTTAAGGTGTATTATGTGTTAGTGGATTATCATAACTTCATAGATTAAAGAGAAATGTGGAATGGAATGAATATCTTTGGAATGAAAGTTAAAAGATTAATGTTCGAGGGCAAGGGAGGAATATACTACAATAATTAAGTGAGTGAACAATTATGAGTTTTATAAAATTTTAGAGATTCAAATATTACTATATTGAAATGTTTTAGGAATAAATTTTATTGTGAAGAGTGTTGAGGAGTTAATTCCAATGTTGGAATTGTCTCAAATAAGTGGATAACGTCTCAATTAATTTATTAATAAATTTTTTTATAATATTATTTTAAATAATTTACATGTATCAATGTATTGCTGGTATTGATTACTTTTATTACTTAAGTTACTCTAATGCTTGAAGTCACAACATTTATTTTTTTAGATTGATGAAAATGCCTTTACAAATTCTAGTAGTCTTTTATTCGATAAAGAAAATAATGAAAATTTGTGATATAATTTATGAGATATTAGTTATAAATTTTTATATTTAGAAGGATTGATATTTTATATAAGTCATGCGAGTTTGATATTGAGAAGAGAAAATTTTATTTTGAAAGTGATGATTTTCTTGTGTGTTTGAAAATAATTTAAAAGAGACTTTATACAGAACACTAATTGCTAACGGAAGTCTCATTAGCCTATGGTGCACCTTGGTTAATGACTAACTAATTTTATTTTCATGAGCTCTGTTCTTTTGTATTGATTAGTAATGCAAAATTTCATTGCTAATTCACTACTTTTTTGTAGTGTTTCTAGGTGAGATTGGCAACAAAAGTGTGATGAGAATTTCACCCTGGTACCAATTGATGTAAAATTGGGAGAGGAAGACAAAGAAGAGAAAGGAGTAGAGAGAGAGAGAGAGAGAGAAGGAGGGAGGGGGCTAGAAAAATAGGAATTTTTATTATTCAATACTCAAAACTGAATACAAATAAAATCTCCTAGCTCTATTTACAAAGTTTTAAAATAATAATAAAATAATAATTTAAATTCAAATCTCAAATCCCAAATCTAAATCTAATATTAAATATACTAATATCTAAGATAATAAGAAAATAAATAATAAATCCTTATTCTAATGAATAAATATTCCTAATAGATAACCCTAATATTTTAAATTAAACCCTAATTATATCTTAGCTCATATTACACCAAAAAGTTTACCATTGTTCACAATAATTGGACTATATACTTGATTGTGAACCCAACTCTCTTCACACTTACTTGATGATGTTCTGAATGAAGAGCATTTTTAATTTGTAATGCCTTTTTTACATTGAGGAATGTATCCAAAATAAAATAAACTGAAGAGGTGAACAAAACATTAATTACCCAATTACTGAGAAAGCTTTCGACTGGGTTCTACAATATATATCAAGGGGAGTTGACACGGTTCTTCTCTTGCGTGGCACTGTCTTCGTCTTGTTGGATTTTACCAGCATAAACCCTACCATCCTTACTCCCATAAAATAAAAAAAGACCAAACCAAATACCAAGTCGTACAACTTGATGGAAAACCGGAAAGCGAATTGATCTCTTAGGAAAATATCCTAAAAAGCCAAGGAGTAATATAAGGAAAACAAAGATGAATCCGATGATACTTGTAAGATCTGCAAGAAAGCTATCATTTCTAACAACCAAACATATGGCAGCCATAAATGCCACTGGCATGGTTCCAAGAGCCAGATGGACAAAATATGTTGAGATAATATACGCTCGTCTTGAAACATGACGATCAGGCAATTGCCTCCAAAGAAGAAGAATAGTACCGAAAGTGGATAAATACATGGCAGTGGTGTTGAAAGTCATAAATGTTTTGAACAGGGTTTGATCAGTCAACACTGCCATGCCTCTTTTTTTAGGGACTGGGTCATCCGAACTGTATACTCCAGCTGGCATTGTGATACCAGCAGCAAATGTCACTGTGGCTACCAGTACGGCCACAATTATGAGTGTGTTAGCCGCATCATCCTCATTCCATGCTTTTTTCACTACATGATTTGATCTCAGCTTAGTATTATGTTTGAGTGAGGCACCGGCCAATATTAGAATCATATATGCTGCTAGCTGCAAGGTGATCAAATCAAGCAAGTAGATGTTAACATGTCGTAATCTTTTATAAAACTGCAATTTGTCTAAAATCAAAACCTGGTAGAAAAGAAAGAGATTATTTAAAAAAAATATTGGGTATATAGAGACTTCAAAATACCTCTATACGAGTCATTAGAGATTTTCTTTGGCTTCCGATAATATCAATAGCTGTTAAACCCTGGTCATTTACGACGTTCACATTTATTCTTTTGTCTCGTGATAGATGGTCTAAAGTCCAAAGATACAACTTTCTTGAAGCCAGATGCAGTGGGGTGTCTCCATTTAGCAGGTCTTTCTCATTCACAGTTTTGGAATTGATCTTCGGGTGCTTCAATAGGTATTTTACCATCTTGCTTTTTCCTCTCATAGATGCAATGTGAAGAATGTCTCGACCTTTATTATCGAGTGAAAAACTTGTACAAGGCCCTTGTACACGTAGTAATTCTTCAACCACCTGAATGTGGCCCTTATAGCAAGCAAAGTGAATCGGAAGATCACTTCCTGAATTTCGTTGAAAGGCGAGATGGGTGGATTTGTTTAAAAGTTCATGAACGCCTTCCACATAACCGGTGCATGCTGCATAATGGAGGGGTGTGTCTCCATTTTCATCAGTGAGGAACATCAACTTTTCTTTATTGTCTACTATCTCCTTCGAAGCAGCTACACATAAAAGAAAACATATTTTATATATAATTAAAAATGGGTCATATTTAAAAAAAGTAACACATCTGGTAATTAAAGAGTAGATTAAAATATATAAAACTTGAGATATGTTTAATTTAACCCGGTGATTCAAACAATTATAGTGAAGTGAATAATCATCAAACACACTTGCATTTGACATGCCATTAAAGCCATTTGACCAGGGACACAGAAAAAGAAAAAATGGCCAAAAAAACAAAGAGAAAAAACAAGAAAAAAAGAAAAGGAAAAAGAAATGAAAGAAAAGCAAGAGAATAAAAAACAATAAAAAAATTAAAAATTAGGGACATGACGCCTCCAAAGCTATTTTTTAAAAAAAAGAACAAGCCCATACAAAATAGTTGAGGGAGTAATAGAGAAAGAAATATCATATCTTAGTAATTTTAAAATTAATTATAATTAAATATATAAAATTTGAAATATGTCTGACCGAAGTTTAAACTATTTAGATGAAAGGAGAAATCTTTAAATATAATGTAAAGAAATTGACATGACAACCAGAAAAGCAACACATTGATCAATTATTTTGGCATCCCACACATATAGATACCAATATTGCGTTGTAATATGGCGGCAAAAAGTGGAGAGTTTCCCTGACGCTTAAAAATGTCCCGGTCTGAGGGAAACGGAATTTGCAAGAGACGATGAAGAATTTCAACATCCCCACTTTGGACTGCCACATATATTGGTGAGTCTGCTGGGTGGGTGTCCCAATAGAAAGGCCAAGTACTCTCACTTTGCTCACTTAGAAGGAAATCAAACCCCTCACGATATTTGCTCAGAATAGCTTCGTGTAGAGCTCTATTCCCAGATGCATTGGGTAACATAATAAAGTTATCCTTACTGCTAACATCGCCAAATTTGAACAAGATGACTCTCATCACTCCAATATTCTTAGCTCTTGCAGAAACATAAAGCGCTGTGTCTTTTCTTACATTTGTCACAATCAGCAAAAAATTATTATCAACAAGCAGCTCTGCGATCCTTGTTCTCCCACGTTCAGCTGCAACATGGAGCAACGAATCACCCGTGGGAGTGGCTTGATGTAAGATGGTGGGACAATCAAGTTGTTTTTCTGTACATACTCTCTCCAAGACGTCTAGAAATCTATTTACATCTTCATTCTCATCATGAACAGCGTTGTACAGTTGATAACTCATGGTGTCATTATGAATAACGCCAATTTGAACATGATTGACTGAAGAAACGAACTGCTTCTTCAGCAGTTCTTGCAGTCTTCTGTAGCATGGTTCCTTCCAGTTTGAATTATTAGTTTCCATGGGAATTTCCACCTGCTTCGACTTTCTTGTTGCAGAAAATAGTGAGAAACAAGATGTGCTATTGATAAGAATAGTAACAAGAGAAGAAATGAACTTCAAAGAGATGAAAACAACTCAAGAACATGAGAGTTTTAAAGATGAGGAGCAACAAGAAATGAAAAATTAGATCGGAGAAAAAGACGCAGGACTATTGGACTAAATTAATTTTAAAAAAAAATTGTTAAGATTCGTTGCATAATTTCAGGTTATACTTTATTCTTAGGAATAAATTAATATGAAGAATATATGATAATTAAAGTAGATCATCTTCTTATTTGATTGAATGATGCGGGGTTAAGCCAACGAGCTCCTTGCCTCTACGGTAGTGGCACGTCCATGTAAACCTTAGGTGGGGTTAAAACGGACAGACAGCAAGTTTGTGTATGGAACGCATCTTTATAATGCATGCTTTTATTTTTATAATCAGCCCAATTACTTTATTCTCCTTTTGCTTTCGTGACGTACTTTCCTTGGGAGGAATTGGAGAAATCTTTAGATAAACAGGAGATAAACAGGTGCATTATGTCATTTGTGATCCATCTAATTAGAATAACTCAAGTCATTTAAATATAATCTTATCTGACATTATTTTAATTGATTTTATTCTTACAATAAAATACATATTTATGAGAATTTCTCAATTGGTTTATCTAAACAGAATCATTTTCTTACTTGTTCCTTAATTAATTTCCATTCCCTTCAGCCCTAAAAGTAAGTTAATTAGTCGAGAATTTTACTCTGATATTGAGAAAAAGGAACAAAGCAAGAAAACAACAAGATAGCAACCACTGACAAACCTCTGCATGTCCCCCAGACCTTCATAATTTATTACAAATTGTATGCATTTTACATGCCAAAAAAAAAAAAAAATCAAGGATTTTTAGCCCCCATCTTATTGTCCAATTCTTGCCCCCCATGTATGTGATCCTGGATTCGTCCCTGATAGCAACTAAAGAAAACAACCCAGACACAACAGACACAGATCATTCATTGTTCATATTAATTTAGTCTCAAACATAAAAAAAAAAAATTATGAAATTATGCAACCAGTTAATCGTACATTTTATATTTTAAGTTTATGCTAATGAATCTTAACTTTAAAAATTTTATAATTATGGATATGAAAATTTAAATTATTTAGTGATTTCAAAAAAAAATTTTTTTATCATAACTGGACAGAAATACTTGTAGTATCAGAAGTTGAACCCTGAATATAACAATAACAACTAATAAAAATAATATAAAAAAGAAATAAGCTGTAACTTGTCTTGCTCAAAAATATTTTTATTTATTCTCCGAAAATTGTATCGTTTAAGCATTAGGAATAATAATTAGAATTTTAAAGTTCATAAAAAAAATTGGATAGTTAAAAGATTTGAATGTGATTCTCCTTCTCACTTTTAAGTTTCAACACACCTTATTTTCATATCCAGTATCTTCTCCAAGACTCCAACATACACCAGCATCCTTTACTCCTTACCCACTCTCTTTTTTTCCTCGTAAGTTTGTAACTTACTAATCTGATGGAAACACTTGTTTCGCTTAGTTTCCTGCAGCTAATAAAATAAAATAAAATATTGTAACATTGCAAGTGTATATGCTAAAAAAATGTAATATAATGATGTGACCAAGTCGTACCCACACAGAATCAATCTATCACGCCTAAAATATATAGGAGTGACCGGCACATGATATGTACTAGAACTCACATCCCTTAAGTTTTAACTCAAGAAATTTCTAATTATTTTTAAATCATGAATATTTTTGCAATAGAATCAGGATATTTTTCAATTCGTTCCATACAAATAAAACCTACATTTTTTTTAATTTTAGCATAACCTTCCCTAAAATAGAACCTCCAAAAAAAAAAAAATTATGCAACATGCAGTTTCACAAAACAACAATAGCAACAAGGAGTTTTGCTCTTATCAGTAAATAAACAAAATATAAATAATAAGGACGAGGATCCTAAGTACAAGTTATGTAAAGCGCCTGACATAAGATTTATAAAATATAATACAAGGATTTAATTCACATTAAAAGAAGCTTAATTTACAATTCTTCACTACAAGTGAATACTATTGCCCATCAATGGTCAACAAGAGGTATAACATCAACTAATGCATCTGAGATCAAAATAATAATTTTGAGTTAATAACTTCCCAATAATGATAAAATTTAAAAGAATAATGAATAAACTTAAGCAATTATATATGTAAATAAGTGGAAAGAAAATAATACAATATAATATGCCCACTTAATCTTGGAATTAAAAAAATCATAAACCACTAAGTAAGAGTAAACTAAAATAGTCGTATCTTTATTCTTGAGGAATCAAATTGTCACGCCCCAAAAATAAAGGGAAACTGGTATGGGGTGTGAACTATATCACACATTTTCTAAACCTTCAATCGAGAAACCTTTTCATTTCTAAAACATAATTAAATTTATATTAAAATTATGATATCCTTAATAATATATATATTATAACAAAAGTTTTCATATTTTTTGTAAAAATTTCAGCAACACCTCCATTGTAAATAGATCTTCCCAAAAATTCTATGGTACAAAATTTTCACACAAAATATCATATCAATCAATAGCTCAGCTCCTTGCAACCACTAAATAGAGTATATAACAAAAATAAAGATCCTAACTACAGCCTATGTGAAGCACTTAGAATTTAATTTACAAAATGCATCAAAAGGTATATTAGCCTACAGCTCCTCCACTTTCTAGTCACAAATAAACCCCTCAATGATCACTAGGAGGTTAAACATCAGGTAATAAATTTAAGACTAAAATAATTTTTTATTCAATAACATCCCAATTATAAAATTTACAAAATCAAAATAAATAAACCACAAAGTAAAGTAAAATCTACAGAGGAAACAATTCAAAGAAATATGCTCGCTTAATCTTGGAATCAAAATCATAAACCATTAAATAAGAGTAAAGTAAAATCAAAATCATATCTCCATTAAGTAAAAAAGAACAAACAACTTTCTTTAATAATAGCTCTATTTCATATATTTCCAACTGACATTTATCAACCCAAACTTCTTAAATTATATGTGGTCAACATTCAACAACTCAATTGACACATCCCAGTTTCAAGTCTATAACAAATTTAAAAAAAAAAACTTATATTAAGTTAAATTTTATGATTTCAACAACTCAATTGACACACACACACATTCAAGCAATATTTGTACCTTCTCTGATTTCAACTTGAACGTAGAGATTGAACCAAATAAATTCAAATTTCAGTCCTCAACACAGAATATACTTGATTGCCTTATTCCCAACCAAATAGCTAAATTTTAATCAATACATATACATGCGTGCACACAAAACTTTATTACTCTATTGATTAAAAAAATATTTCCATCACCC